TTCCATTTCAACGGGCAGGGATGTTATTGGAACGGCACCCTAACAGAAGTTATCGGAACCGAAGCCGGGAACACCGGCTACGACCAGAGGAACGAATTGGACCGTGCCGAACTGTTTGTTGCACCGTTCGGATTTTTCACGGTTTCGCTCCGCGTTTTGTATAATACGTTCTCTTTCCGCGGTAAGCGTACCCCGGTTCTTTTTGGAAATTAGCATTTTCGCGGAAAGCAGGATAAAAGGGAACCGCGTTTCAAAGATTCTTCGATGGGAAAGTGAAGTTGAAATTCTCTTGAATATTTCTTAACACAAACGCCACGCCAACTTACGCACCGATGCGAGACTAAATATTTTGCTTAGGCGACGTCGGTTTTTGTTCAGTCAAGGCTTGAAAAAAAGAATATAATATTTAAGAAAAGTTCATTGCAGATATAAAATAAAGAATAAATATTTCCTCAAACGGAAACAAACATTTCGTTTCAACTGAAAGGAGAAAATATGAGAAATAAAGTATCGAAGTAATCAAAAAACTAAAGTGATGAAATAAAGTAAAAATAGAGATCCCACGTTAGAAAACAAAAGGTTAATCCAATTTTAATTACCCGAAGCGTATTCCCTTGCGTTCTGCAAGGAGAATCCACAGCATCTTGATTCACAGCTTCCGAATAGAATATACCCGAGATATCCGAGGAAAAATTTCATTCGATGCTTCCTTCTTTCTCGCGGAAGAAACTCTTCTCCCCCGGTCACGCCATAAATTACGACGCTCCCGTAATTGTTTCGCAATTAATCTCAAGCGACGCGGGAATTGGCGGAAACTTTTTGCCGGACACTTGAAACGTCCACGCCTCGTTTACACCCCGGCGGTACGCGCGTGCAGCGTCCGTCCCGTTATCCGTTGTTGCCCGTTCCTCGGTAACGATTCTAAATCACACACGTAGGAAGCAATATTTACGATCCGGAGGCGGCCATAATTGATACGAAGTTCCCCAGGTACGAAATGATATTTCTTGCAGCGAGCCCCCGCGCGCGCGCTCCGCCGGCCCATAATTGTTCGCGCCCCGGTCCGCGAGTTATTGAACTCTCGCAAGAGTCGGCCGGTGTTGCCAAACTGCAACACATTGATAGCGGCCCGTAATCTGTTCCTGTTTACAGAAATTTATCGGTGCGAAATTCGGTGCCAACTATGGAACAACGCGTAGGCGTCCGCTCTATGGCCTGAGCCCCGGCGCGCCACCGTCGTCGCAGCGCGTTATTAAAACGGGGCCAATTTTCATAGAGCCCAAACACAACACGCTGCGACGCGACGCGAGGCGACTGCACGGCGAAGCCTTTTTAGAGTTATGCCCGTTCGAGTGAATTGTAAACGCGCATTCACCGTTTCCCTGATACGAATTGAAAGGCGGCGCTCGAATAACCTGCTCTCTCTCGGTTATATGATCGCTGACACGGAAATGGTTGGTCGCGGACGGACCAATTGATTCCGTGTTTCCGGTTTTTATGCGGCCATAATAAAATCGTATGAATTCGACGGTTTCCCTCTGTGCGTGGGGGGAGTAATGAAACTCGACGCAACACCGAGTTATTTGTCGTTTTTTTTCTGCCGTGGCTTTGCGAGTTTCGATCGTTTGTTTGAACAAGGGAGTTGGCTTCTCGCGAAGGAACGCGCGAACGCGTGTTGGAATTATTGTTTGATATTCGAGCTTTGTATTTGGAGATTTTCGAACGATGAATTTGTGCATGTTACATCCGTGATTAAACCGAGCAATAATAAGTATGATGAAAGAAAGGGATCAGAGAGGAAGCGATTCGACGTAAGCGACGGTGCAGTCGCCGGTTTCGATCCCGTGTCGCGTACGGTAGATAGCACGTAACACAATGCTACTTGTCTGCGCATCGCAGATGCACAAAAGACGTCTAGCGCTGTTCTGATTTCTGAATTCATAGAATGCCCTGATGACAGGTATTCCACTAATCGGAAGTCGGAATGTGTCCGGGCGGCTTAGGCGTGTGTACGTGCCGGGATGGACGTATTATGTGCCCAACTGTATTCAGGAGCCTAACGCTGACTCTTGTCGAAGGGACAACTTTGGCTTCTCGGTCAGAATGTCACCGAAGACGGTCACGTCCATGGAAGCGGATACTGCTTTGTATCGAAGATAATTAGAAACAATGATTCACTATTCGACATCACAACCCATGCAATACAATACTACCAGCTTACGTTAAACAGTTTTATTCATCATCTCGCATAATTGTTTTCAAATTCAGAAGTGTCGGTCATCGACGACTGACACGGCGCTTAATGTGTTACACCAAAAACCAATGACGTCCGAAGACGTCACCGCGGCGAAAGGGGTTACGTAGACACCTGCGAATCGTCTAGAAAACGCCTTCGATTTCCGGAGCAGCGCCGCGTTCAGCGGGGGCAGAGACGGCGAGAGGAACGAGTCTGCAAATAAATTTTTAGAGGCTCCCGGAAATTCAGACGTTTAAAAGGGGATAGAGAATCTCCGCGTGGCTTTTTAAACAGAGCCCCCGGCCCCCACCCCGCTTCGGGCTCGTAATTCATGGAGAAAACCTGGCTTGCATACTGGACGATAATACGGCCGGGCGTTTTCCTCCCTTCAAAATCCTATGGTTGAGAAGAGGAACGTGAAGATTAGCGCGCGTCTTGCCGGCGTTCTTAAATGCAGCGTGCCGCGGATGGTCGGTCGGATTTAAACGTGGAAGCCGCAATAACGAAAGCTTTATACAGTCTGTACATCCGCGGCGGGCGCGGCCAGATAATTTATGCCGGTTCCGTGCGAAATGCCTCGCGGATTCCATAATTTTCTTCGCAGACGACCCGGCCATACTTTCGTCGCGGGCCTACCGAGCAGAATTTCCCGGCTCGTTGCTCTCGTTAATTGCAGTTAATGCCGTGTCTCGTTCGGAACAACGTTACCGCCGCGCGAGCGACGCCGATTGTTAATTAAATTACCGAATCTAGATACGCGGGCGCAGTACGCGACCTGCTTGTTCCGATGGTTCACGGTTTAGGAGCTGTTCTAATATTCCGAGTTTACGAGAGAGCGAAATGAAAAATAATACAGCGTTCTCTGACTTTAGTGTGTATTTCGTGTTCGGTGAATTTTATTGTTCGTTGATCGTTTCGGCGAGTACTAGTAATGTTTCACCGCTTTCCTGTTTTAACTAGTTAATTGCGTTGAGTATATACGCCATCTTGAACCTCTAAATGTGTAATTCTCCTTCGTTTCGATTCAATTTATCGTTGGAATTTTCTCTTCGGATGTGACCGGTTTTCTTCGAATTTTCAGTAGTTGCTTAATAATAATAGTGCTTGAATATGGGCAAAACAAGCTCGCTGTTCGTTCAGCGATGCGCCAGTTTGTTTAGACTCGGTTATAAGCAACCGGTGTATACGCATATACTTCTAAGCGAAAGAACCCCATTAAAGTAAACGAAAACACACAGAAACAGCAGTACTAACAGAGTTTGAAATTTTTATGAAACCGAATGCACTGCGAGTACGGGGAAACCCAATAATCGGTGTCTGCGCCATTACCAGTATTGTCAGTAAAGCGAGGGTCATCAGCGGAGCAACAAATAGGAAAGGCAGATCTCTCTCAATCGTTTCTAATACCTGAAACTTCGGTCGCTTAAATAATCGAGACTGAATAGTAGAAAGGCGAAAGTTGTTTAAGAAAGGTGAATATTCCTATCGATGATACAATTAAGATTTAAACGTGATAAAATCTTCCTTGATAAAACGTGATAAAATTTTAACCGTTGCCTTCTCCAGAATTTTCTAAGTTCAATCGTTCTTTATGTTTTCGTTTCGTATCGTTATATTTTTTTAGACACTTTTTATTTAGTTGCATTCTTATTCTCAGAAAGGTTGCCAGAAAAACCGTTGCCAGTCTATGTAGTTTCGCTTGTCCAATACTATTTCGAACGTGTGGGCGAACAGTGTAGCAAAATCAAGAAAAATGAAATTCCTGAAATGAAACGGTCCACATATTTTAATTTAGGTTCAACCGCCATCGAACCAAACAATCTGAAACGAGAAATTCTTGATCAAAATTTTCCGAAACAAGCGAGCAACCAATAATAAGTGCCATTCTCAAAAGTTTTCTCTCCAAAACCAGAAACTCTACATTCCGAAATGCAACGAGACATCAAAGGAGCATCGCTATAATCAGGGACTGTGGTAATTGTTCCGAATCACGAATCCACCGAAGTGTTACGCGAACATTAGGCTGCAAGTGGAACACTCGTTTCGTAGTTTGACGAGTTTGACAGTTCCATTGCGATAAAAGATCGCCGAAACATTTTTCAATATATCTCTACTTACAACTCTTCCAAAAACTTCTATTCGAATAATAATCCTTATGTCGTTAAAAGAACCGACAACGGTTCCTAGAAACTTTCACATTCTACTCGGAGACGAAACTACGATTTGGAACAATTACCCTGTCGCCCGAGTTTCAGAAGCTTCGATCGACAATCCGAAACCCAAACAAAATTCAAAGGAAGCGGCGTATCGCTGTAATCAGGGGCGACACGGTTAACGAACGGCATTAAACTGGGAGGCGAAGTGGTCAAGGAAAGGAGCCGCTGCTCGTTATCATACATTCAAGCAGCCGGTAAACGCGGCGATCCCGATAGGATCCCGGCATAAACGTTCCCCAGTCTGCCGCGCGGTTCGACAAGAATTCCCCGGATTCTTGGTGAACAGGAGGGCCTCGTCCGGCGACGACACCCTTCAAAGATCGTATCGCGTCGGCGGGGCTGTGTATAGCGACGCTGACCCCGACTACGAGGCGACCCGACGTGCATTCCTGCACCGGTGCACGCCGGACCAGTCGCCCCTCGAGCGCGTGAAGTGGAAGCGGTGTGGCTGCGCGTAACCCCGTCCGCGCCTGGTGCACGGCAATCCGGCCGCGCATGCGTCCGCCGTGGTCGGATCCCCCGCAGATATTCACTTCGCGCCGCGACGCCAAGCGGCAACCCGCATCCGTGTATACGCGGCTGGTCCATGTGCGTTCAACGTCGTCGCGTGGGACGCCGACGACGAGGACGACGAAGACGCGTCAGTACAGTGTGCCTGCGTGCGTGTCCTCGCGGATCTACCTGCCACGATCATCCCCTCGATCCCCGTGGCGCACGGACACCGAAATAAAAGGGAAGCTCGGCTAGTAAGATAGAGGATCCTCCTTCGTCTATCAAGCTTTTAGCCCGTAGCGTCCGCCGAGATGAAATAAGAGCAGAGAGGGTCTTGCCGCGGAAGATGCGACCGAGCGAGGGCTGCGTGATCAAGATGATCACGGGCGATGAGGACACCACGGAGCGTGGTCACCGTCGCGGTTCCAGTGGATTTGGTCGCGCGACGCAACGGCCTGCTTGAGGATCTCGTGCTTCTCGTGGTACTTTCCGCCTCAGTGTCTATGTTTCCGGTGTCCCGATACCCGCGTGGATGCATTGGAAACCTGTCCGCGGGACTCGAGGAACGATTTATCGTGAGCAAACCCCGCACCGTCTCGGTGCCGATCGTTCCGAGTGATTCTTTCGGCGGATACCCGGAGAACCGTCGCGGATCATCCGATCATCCCGCGAAGTGCGAACGGGCTTCGCGGAGATATTGACTGCCGCGGTGGATGTGCAACCGATACCGGTTTATACGATACCATTGGCGATCGGGAGTTGCGAATGCCGGACGCTGGTCTGCGGATTGTGATCGCGGAACGACGATGATGCTCGGTTAGTCCGGCGCGTCCGAATGTTTCGGATGGTAACCGGCTGGTCTGGCGAGCGCGGTAACTGGAGCGAGTTGTGTAATACGACGGGTGTGTGTAACTAGAGTAGCGTGTTACAGGGTAAACCAGATAGGGCGTTAAAACGCGACCGAGGCATCGATTTTAAAGCTGAATTAACCGGATCCTCACTGTATCGGTTCACGGTCTCGGTTTGTGCGCGACACGGCCCGAGCCAGAGGAGCGGTGCTTACGCGGGGCGCGACGACGACGACGATCGACGGTGCGACGAACGTGTGAACCGAGAGTGTTTTAAAAATGTTGTGTCGTTGGCTCGCCGTACCGATACTCGCTGGTTTTCTCCTGGTTATCGAAGGGATCGCGGTCAGCCAAGGTACGTGGCCAAAAGAGTCTTTTGGAAGAATTTCATTTCCGGTACGCGGGCTCCTCGATTCGGCCCGTCGAGCATCGCCTCGGGGATCACGGGAAGGAGCGGACTACGCGGCTCCTACGGGCGCATTCGCATGCATCGCCCACTTTTCGAGAAGTTCGCGTATAACGTTCGCCACTTTCGAACCGGCGAATTGAATGGGAATGATAGCCGGTCTCGATTGTCTGTACGTGTTTGTGGTTCGACCTCGCTGTATTATACGGGACCGTCGAGCACGATGATCCAGTTTGATGGTCTCTTTTTTCGACCGGGGAAAATTGAAACGGATGGTATACACGTTCGATCGCGTAACGCGTGTGTCGCTTTAATTTCTAACGATTTCGAGCGCACCGGACGGAGGCCGGAAATGGAAAATGCCGGAGGAAAATTCTTTGGATGGTCGTTTCTCGAAAACTTGTTGTAAAGAATGACCACCCGGTTGAAAGGTTGAATCGATTTTGAAAATACTATTCCGCGTTCTGCGAGGAAATGCGTTTACGGGGAATTTCGTTGAAGCGGATTCGTTGATTTTTGGAGCTCGCGAATCTCACGATTCGGGGAGGGTTATTTTGTATTCTTTTTCCTCTCGGGAGTGTTTCGAATGTGCGCGGAGGTTCTCTTTTGTATGAGTTCGAATGGAAATTACGCGATGTTAAGTGCACATTAGTTGCACTGTTGAAACATTCTTAATGGAGCTTTCAAATTCTTTTCAACTTATTAATGTCTCGTTAGCTATTTATCGATTCAAGTTTTATACCTCGTGATTGCTATAAATATTCAATTATTATATATCACGGGAAGTGAATTGAACACGTGTAGCTTGGTAACGTAAATATGACGTTTTTCTATAAATAAACGAGTAAATCTCTAAATGTGTTTAGAATAAATTTAGAATAAATTTACTAAAAAGGAATTTAAAAAACAAAATGATGAAGATATTAAAAATATAAAAATCTCTATGTTTACATACCGCGAGAACACTCTTGTATCTTCAATTCTTGAATTTAAGTCTTGAAAAATAACAAATAGTCTGAATAATTGTTACGACAATTAGTTCGTGATTTGTTTACGCACAACATATACTTAACGACAAATTAAAAAGAAATTATATGGATTTTTAAAGTAACCTTTCTATCGACATATATAGATTGATAATTTCCGATCGTTTTATTGAAATTGCAAGAATCATGCGTTTCAAAGTGAATCGTGGCCATTTTTGTCGAGAATGGGGAACAGTCGAGAAGTTTGACGTAATTGTCACTGTACGCCTAATCGTCAATCCAAATAGTTCCACGAGCCTTGTAATGCTAATGGCAGCTTTCGACAGTGTTAACTACTTTGACTTTCATGCTTAGTGCTACATTCAGATTCACGCGGGTAATAACTCCGCAACCATAACAGATAGTACAATTAATTTCAACACTTTAACAACTTCATGCACAAGCATATAGGACATGCATTAGGACGCATCATTCACCTCCACGTCTCCATACTCTTGCATAATGCGGCAGCTCGCAGGCCCAAGTGTCTCACTTCAGCAGTTTATGAAGCACTTTAGAAGCGAACGAACCGAGCTTAAGTTCCGAAATGAGAAATTTCTGCTTAGTATGTATTAGATGTGCCGATGACTAATCCATTATTTCTTAATAATGCCACGCTGTGTCGTTCGAACAAACAGCACTTTTTCAATTTTTCGGTTTTCTTTGTTGATACGTCAACTTGCGGATTCATTTATTATATAGACTGAGTAAATACAAATAATCAAGTGACACGTTCGTATAATAAATAAAAACGTATGTGTGAACAAATAGTAACATTTGGAAGCAAAAACAGTGACTAATATTTAAATGGTTATGCCGTTTTGTGAATCAATAACTATACATGAAAGATAATACAATGTTAATTAATCCCAAATTATATTACATTTCCAATTAATATGAAACATATTGGATTTTACTCACCGTTACAAACGTGCAAGAACAATGACTACTGCGTTATGAGATTATTAATAAAGCAGAATTTTCATATTACTACCATACAACGAAACCGATAATAGAAGAAATAACTTTCTTTTTATCTCATCTTTCATTAATAAATCGACAAAATCTTCCAAACTAAAGAATTCACAGAACTACAACTTCATGAAACTTAAGGCAATTTATTAGTATACAAATTAGGGAACCAATGATCGAACAAACCGAGCTTCAGTCTCATTTCCTACAAATTGACTTCACGAGAAGTCTCGCGTGAAAATCTGCTGCGTTAATTTATCGCGCGGCATAGCGTACAGTCTATCGGTGCACTTAATAAACGTTGGACGGGGCCTCGGAGTATGGTGACCCGTTCAAGGAAGATCCCGTAGACCGTCGACGCTTTCCATCTCCCGCATTAATATCGAATGTTCCGACACATTAACACCGGGAAGAACGTGTCGCCGTGAGCGATGGCTCTAAGGGAGGACGCGCGTTGCGCAAGGGCTTCGACCCCGAGCCCCGTTGCGAAATTCAACGGGGTTGCGACCGGCCGTTGTAGCGTTTTACGGAGCACGCGTGCTAATTGAATAATTAAAAGTCACTGCGGTCGTGGCGTCCATTCGACGGAAAATGCGATGTACGCGGGCGGCAACGACACGCCGTGGCAAAGCAAATAATCACCCGCTCGTAATTGTGCAATCACAGGAACACCGCTGCTCAAGTGGCAAGAAACGAAATTTCACGCGGGGACACGTGATCGCGCGCACGTTACGCTCCCGCTGGCTCGCCGCTAGTTGCGTATAATGGGATAGAACCTCATTGATTTACTATCCCCGTTCCGAGGATTCTCTGATTGTCGCAAAATAAACAGTCGGGACTGGACGTTAGCTGCGGCGCGCTCAAAATGCAGGTTACGGTGACTCGTTCAAACTCGTTTGTTGTAAATTACCGCTGCTTCGATAGATTTTGAGAACTGGCATTTTCGGTTGTTTGTTTGAAATAGAATTTTTTAATTTTAACCCCTTTCGTTCTGAACGACGTAAACATGTCGAGATCTGCATTTTAATGATCACTATTAATTTGTGTCTGAATTGATTATGATGTGATATTATACAAAGAGCAGAATTTAACAAGATGGGAATATAAAAATGAAATTAGTGAATGATTAATAAATCTTCGTTGAAGTATTAATTGTATATGCCAGAAACTTATAAATTTATAAACGAAGTGTGTTTGTTACGTTGATACTCACTCTTAAGCTTCAAATATTTTAAATATACCTTAAATAACACATGAAGATTTACGAAAAATTATATTCTTACATAAACATTAAACTGTATATATCCACATAGTCGCGATGGATCCAGCTAGATCCATATTTTACCCGTAGCTCGTTTACAATTCACGAAACTTATTCTAATGAAAATTTTGTTCTTTGTTGGAAACTTGAAAATTAAATTTGAAGTTCCCCTAAATTTGTTACTAAGGAAACTCTTAAGTTCAGCAACTCAATTATTACTTCGGGTACTGTTGGAGATTTCTGTATAAAAACTGCTCTCATCCGTAGTTGAAGCCCAGTAAATGTGTTTACTACTACTTCACTTAACTGTTACACAGGGCGTCTCAGAAATTTTGGTACAACCAAGAAACGAATCACTGTGTAGACAAATCTATATTAAAAATATACGTAACATTCATTCTTATTAACAATACATTACTTTCAATTTCTTTAGGCGTTCGTTATAGTATTTAAGTGAAACTACTTATTTTCAAAATCATTTCGAATATTCGATGCTTTTAATATATCAATAATTGTGAATCAAGAAAATCGAAGAACGTTCATTTTTGTACGGTATACCAATTCTAGGCAAATTTTCGAAGACGATTTTCCTGGAAAGGAGAAAGTATCTCCCATGAGAAAATTTTATTCCATATATTAGAGATTCAAAACCTCAGTCGGCAACGAGACTCCGTAAGCTCGGGAGCATTCCTAATTTACGTTCATACAATTTTCTACAATTTTAGCGACTGAAGTCTCCATATAATTTAAACTCCGATAGTTTACTATCTGTACGGTCCACTGTAATTTTACTAAACAATCAAGTTATTTGGAGTTTGCAGTATATTTTCGTTTTATTGTTTCTTTCTTATTGAACTAGGATTTACGAAATACTCTGTATGTACACGTGTATGTCGATGTTGAACATAAACGCAGGATGTAATCAATACACAAACTAATAGTAGCACTGGCTTTTGTTCTCGATTGGATCGAATCAATAATTTATCGGGCCCTCGCTCATTTGAGCATCGTGTAACTCGTATGTGCGTTCCATTCTGCTGATTATTTCCACTTTGTATTAATGGGTGTAAACGCGGCTAGTAGTCTATTATTTGTTCGCCACAATAGCGTCATACTAGCCGATAAAAGATAATAACATCAACGGGAAACCGGTAATGCTGTTCCATCATGTGACAACGAGTTTATTGCAAGTAGAAATACTGAATAATAGCCCGGCGTAATATCATAATACCATGTTCGAATGCGTAATTCTCAAACTCTATCAATCTAGTAAATAAAGACTAGAATCGGAAACGACATTAAACGTTTGCACGTTATTCTTCCGTATTAATTGCTATCGATCTTCAGTAAATTATCGTGTAACACTTAATACCGCAATATTTCGCCAACTTCGACATTTTCAGAAACTAAACAATATATTAAATAAAATAGGAGAGAAATTCAACTACCAAGGAAGTTAAGTTAATACATTTCAAGCAGTATAATAACAATCCTCTGTTTTGTAATTCATTTCACTACTAAATTCATTAACCAGTTAACTGTGTTCGACGAGTATACGCATCATCGTAAAGCTCGACACGATACTACTTCTTTCAGCGTTGAATTCTCTATTTTTTCACATAAACATGTAAATCTTCTTTGTTTCGCTTTGATCTTTAAAATATACTCTACGTGCTTTCGTCCTGCGTTCG